CCCCCCCCCCCCTCTTTTACTTCAGCCTTTTTTTTTACTGGTAAGGTTAAAAAATAAGGAGGCTCAGCATTTTACCAGTTATTTATTTCAACAGAACACTGTCGGAAAATTTCAGATAGAAGTGAAGAACAAAGCACATAGATAATGTGAACCATTACAAGCTCTTTTGTAGTATTAGCAGAGATTAAGACAGAGAAGAGAGAAAGGGTTCTTTATTTTTGTTTTGTGTTGGATTTCTCTCCCTCTGTGAAGTTTTCAGATTCAGAGCTGAGCGGAGCTTTTGGGGAGAGCACCTGCTTCAGTGAGGAGTGGCAGAAGCTTGCCTTGCTGGTGACTCTCCATGACTCCTGCAAATAAACCAAAACCCGAAAAAAGAGTCGAATGAATCATTCAGTTCGTTCTTTGGGCGTAGACTCGGATAGAACTGGTTTGTCTTACTGTCACATCCACCGATGTGTTCTCCCTTGATGAAAACGTTTGGAACTGTCCTCTGTCCCGTCCAGTCTAACAGTGCCGATTGGATTTCGCTCCCATCACCTTGTACAAAAAGAGAATCAGAAACCGACTTCTTTGTTCGTGCATTGTTTTAAACAGACGGGGAGTTTAAACATGAACATTAACAAGTCGAAACAATCCTTTAGAGTTCAGTTCTAAGCTCAAGAAACAAGCCATCGAGACAAAGCGAGAAAAGGGCTTTCATTCCTTACCCATCTCGTCGAGCTCGAGGAATTTGAAATCTGCTCCAAGCTGAGTGAGCAATTGCTTGACCCTCTGGCAATAACCACAGTATGTCTTACTGCAAAAGAACAAGATGCCATAACAGAGGAGATCAAGCATCTTACTTTAACACCCAACAATTCGACAAATTGTGAAAGGAATGATAACGCTACACAGAAATCCCGAGGAGGAGACAGATCGATGAACATATGAACTCACAGTCCCTAGCAGCATAATAAACTTGAATCCAGTTCAAAATTCCGTATTGACCTGTTCATCTTAGGGATTCGCATGATTTCAAAACTGATTCACACCAGCACTCGTCCAAAGAATCTGAAAAACCCCTATTCATTGTTCTGAGATGAGAATCGGATTCAAAGTTCCGTTATGTCAACGCGAATTTGGAACACCTAATACGCAACCAAATTCATGGCAGTAATTGCCACAGCCCCTCCATCAAATCACCTCTCTTTCAAGAACTTCAATCTGTTCAGCCATTGACACGATCCAACACTACTTCCAGAACAAAATAGCCACGGAATCTAACAAACCCAGATGGAAAAATTCGAGCTTTTAAATAAGACAAGGAAAACTGATGAAAAAGGCGGAAGATTCCAGAGACAGAACCTGAAGACAACAACTGGGTGAGAGGCAACAATCTCTTTAGCCTTGTTCATCGCCATCTCCATCTCTTCCTTCGTCTTCTTGTTCGCACTGATCATAGACCCCATTATTATCTTCGTATATATGAACCAGTCTAGGGTTCTGCAGAAGCCGTCAGGACAGATTCAACAGGTGTCTTGCCGCTCGATTTTCGTGTCTGGGTCGCTGGCAAACAGGGAATCGAATTTCCAAGATGTTCAATTTTGACAACCCTCCGTTTCGATTTTTTTTTTTTAAAGATTTTCAAATTTGGCAGGCCAGGAGACTGATGTTACGATTCATATTCTATTTTATTCCCGTCTAGAATAATTTGTGAGGAACAAAAACTTTTATTATTCTATTATTACTATTATTAAATGATAATGCATTTTGTCAACAATTTTTTTTTTCGTTATCGTATACAAACTGGATGCCATATTATTGTGATTTCCTAGTAACAAAACATTACAAGGATTAGGTCACTCACTTGTATATACGCATTGCCTTATAAATACAAATATTTGGGTAAGGTTTTGAGATATTTTCTGTTACAGATTGTTCTTTTCTTTGTTTATTTACAATATATAAATTCAAATCCTTTTGATTCACGATAAATAGTAGAATCGTTCGAGTAACAAAAAAAAAAACTTGATGGGTAGCAAATTATTAAAAATTAATATTTTGAGGAAGTCTTGCAATGGATTTGATTGGGAAGTAGATTGTTACAATTTCTTGTAAACAAGAAAGAACAGTGAATCGAAGTGGAAAGGGACGAACTTTGTTGTCGAAAGGGTTACAGAACATGAGACAAAAAATCTGGAACAAGCGAAACCTGCAGGAAGGTCCGTGTACGATGGAGATTTGTTCTAAGAATCTGAAGATTTGAGAAACCTCCTCCTAATCCAGTTTACCCAATCCCCTCAATTTCTCCGAACCCTTTAAAAATTCCATCTTCCCCTTCCCACTCTGCTTCGCTTTCTCGGGAGAAAAGTAGAAAAAAGATCTCTCCTTTGCCTGTTTATTCATGGAATTTCCTCACTTTTTCGTTGAATAGATAAAACCCATGTCGCTCGTCTAGGGTTTAAGCGTCAATTGTGTGCTGCTTCCGCCACCGGCCATGGCTGCTAACCTTGTTTCGTCCTCGCTTTCTTCTGTCATTACCTACTTCAACTCACCTTCTCGACGAGGGAATTCCTTTCTGCAGGTACGTATCTTCCTTGGTTTCTGAAATTTTTCTTCAATGTTGTTTAGCTGTTCGCGAGATTTACCATGTTCTTTCTTTAGCCAAATTCGAAAATCATCATTGCCTACAGATACTGCTTGAGATTATTCATTGGCTTTACTTACGGAATTTGAAGCCGAGATACTGAGACTACAAGTGTCGATGAGCTTTGCTTTGGGTTAGATTCTGTAAATAATGGAAAGGTCGAGACATTGAGACTACGAATGTAGATGAGCTTTGGTACTAAGGGGAGAATTTTGAGAGTTTGGGAGAGTTTTGTTTCTCTCTGTTTGTATCTTTTCATTTCTTCCAAGGACACAAACTGGATTGGCCCAACATGTCTCTACCAGATAGGATCTTTGGTTGTCAATCATGTTGTGGCAGACATTGAAGCAGTTCTTTCCCCGTTTTATATGTTCCTGCAATCTTGGAACTGTTTTTTTAAGTCTTTGCTTATGTTTTGAAGCACTTTCACTTGACTGGAACTAGAGAGAATGTCGGCATCCTAAGTAGTAGCTAACTGGTACCATGCAAACTCTTTTCTTGTTATCTTTCTGAGGCTAACTGGTTGTAAAATGATATCACAGAGTTTGTTCCATTTGTAGAATACAGATCTTTTCTTTGAGACGTTCTCTGTTTATCGGATGTCTTATTGTTTTGCTAAATACTTCATTTGTAAATATTTTTTCTGATTTAACGATTACTGAATTCCAGTTCCCTTTATCAAGGCAGCCAACTGATGTTCACCGTTACCGATATCTGCACCGTGAAAATGATAAAGGTGCCTTTTATTTCTTCATGTATCTGTTTTGTCTTTTCTTTCCATCCTTAAAATGTGAGTTTTGTAGAGCGGAATTTGCAATGGTAATTCAGCTTTCTTTGTTATGAGCAGTTAAATTTCTACACATGCCCCTTGGAGACCAGAAATCAAGGGAAGAGTTTCGAAAGGCACCATTTTTGCCTCGTGCTACTTCAGAAGAACAGTTTCAACACATTGAACATACACTCGTTGATAAAGAGACAGTAAGTCATCAAATTGATTCAGAAGCTCAAGATGGTACTTCATCGTCTGTCCATTTCAAGCGGTATAATGGAAAACCTGGTTTCGTTTCATTTTACAACCCTCTGTCCAAAGCAGAGGATGTTGTTGTGGCTTCTGAAGTGCAAAGCAAACGTGGACGCGTGCTTTGGTTCATTGGACCTGCTGTCTTGGTCGCCTCTTTTATTTTTCCTCCAATTTATTTACGAAGAATAATCTCAGCCGTGTTTGAAGACTCGTTGCTGACAGGTTGCTGCTGCAATTCCCTTTTGATTACTTCTCAAGATCTTGATTCTTGTCCAAATGTAGTGTAATGAAGCTGCTTAACTGAAAGAGGAAATTTTTGAAAACAAGAAAAGAAAAATTGTTCAAGATCTAGCATGATGTGAAATGAAAAATATGGATTGTGGAACTTTTTTGAATTTGGCAGCAAGCCCTTCAGTCTAAACCTGTTGTTTTCTATGGATCGAGGTATTGGAATTTGCTTCTTGTTTTGTTTTGGTCATTGATCTTTCTCGCTGTGCCTGCAGATTTCCTAATATTGTTCTTCACCGAGGCTCTTTTCTACTGTGGAGTGGCTGCTTTTCTTCTGATGATCGATTGTTTGAGAAGGTCACCCAGGAAAAATTCTGATGCGAATGATTACCGAACTGGGCCTTCTCAATTAGGGCAAAGGATTTCGTCTGTTGCTACATTAGTGCTTAGTCTTGTGATTTCAATGGTGACAATGGGCTTTGTCTGGCCATGGACTGGTCCTGCAGCATCAGCTACTCTTGCTCCTTACCTCGTTGGTATTGTTGTTCAATTTGCATTTGAACAGCTTGCTAGGTATCGGAATTCACCATCGTGGCCTGCCATTCCCATCATCTTTCAGGTGAGGTGCCCATTCTTGATTCTTGAAGAAAGTCCCAGCATTTCATTTCTGTGGCATAGCTGCTTAACAGTCAAACAAATCTTTAAATGGTTGAAACTGAATCACTCGGCAAAGAGCTGACTTTTTTCACTTACGCTGCTAGCAAATCATATGATCATACTTTTTTTTTGGTTGGCTAGTACGATACTTGAGAAGATCATGCTTAGATGTTTTGATTTGGATATCGGGCTTATACACACGCATGCCAGTGTATACAATGGATGAATCGTTCCCTTGTGAATGGAACAGGTATACAGACTGCATCAGCTGAACAGGGCGGCACAGCTGGTGACAGCATTGTCGTTCACGGTGAAAGGAGCGGAGGCAACAGCACACAATCTGGCGATAAAGAAGTCGTTGGGTACCCTTTTGAATGTGCTGCAGGTTCTTGGGGTCATATGCATTTGGTCTATATCAAGCTTCCTCGTATGGTTTCCCCCCTCCACAAACCAACCCGAATCTTGATGAGACCATTCCTTGTTTCTCTCTGTCTTTAGCATAAAAACATCTACTTGATTTCCTATGGTTCAACTGCTCCATTCTGGTCTCTGGTTTTCGGGGTAAAGTCCGGACCTTGTTATCACTTGGATTCGAATGCAAAAAAGGGTTTATTTTTTTTTTGGCCGGTAGGAATCTAGACAGTATCTGTTTCCTTGTAGGAGTTACTTTTGTTTATCTGTTTCTTGTACTTCTTGTCCTCGTTCTAACAGCTGTTTGACCAAGTTTTTCCAGTGTTGGAACTAAACTTCCAAGAGTTTTGGTAAAAAAATCAAAAAAAAAATTTGGGTTAAAACTCCCATATATATATGAACTCTTTTTTATCTGAAGTGCTGAATTTTGGTTTTTGAGTTACTGATGAATATATGGCTTTTAATGTAATTACAATAATGTCTTCTGAGTATTCCATTTTAAGGTACAAATAACCTCTTCTTTCTGTACAACCATGTAGGCATAGATTTCTTCTTCCGGTTATTAAAAACCGAACCGAATCATGGTACTTATTAACCGAATGAAATCGGTTAATCAGTCCAGCATCATGAAATGCTTACATAAACATTGTCTTTTGACTAATGGTACGGACTTTTTGTTTAACTGATATCTTTCTTTTGTATTGTAATTACATTTAGCCTTGTATTATTCAGTTATAATCTTTAATAAATATAACCACAATCCGGTTTGCCCACCCCTAACCATTGTCACGAATAAATTGGAGAATAATTTTTTTGATAACCCGATAATTCACAAAACATTCGTCCCAACTGTATCTATCAAAATCAGAGAAATCCAAGTGAATATACTTCCTCATGTTTGTCCCAATCCGGTTTGCCTATCCCTAATCATTGTAAAAATATGTTTTGCATATTATTTTACTCTTAAATAAATTATTGGAGAATAATTGAATGAAGAGCCATTTGTATGCCAATAAAATACAAAAGGACCGAACTTAGTATGACAAAAACTAAGTCCGACCACCTATGTATACATATATCCGACTTGTAATACGGAAGGCACTTAAAAGAATTATCAATCTGCGCAAAAGATGGCCGCTCTGCCCACGTAAAAACGACGCATGCGGATGGAAGTTTTGCACCTCTTAACATATACATACACATATACATAGGGGTATAATTACGACACCAAGGCCAAATCTATGTTTTAATTAACTTCTGCTATGCTATATATATATATATATATATATAATATGAGAATATACCCAAAACTCTCACAAAAAAAAAGAGGGTCATCAACACACAAAAAAAAAAAAAACAGCCCGGACAAAGGATTGGTTACCATGGACCAACATTCAAATTCTTGACCAGAAACTTTCTCAAGCATCACGTCCAAAAGATCCATAACCAAACCCAATCATGTAAATCCTATGTTACACATATACATATACAGGCATATATATAGATATATATACACCTATATATGCGTGTGTGTGTATAAAGAGAGATTCAACGTGTGGATCGAATCCTGCATCTTAGAAACCTTTAAAAGCAAAAGCAGAGAATAGAAAAGGGGGCAGCAAATAATTCAACGTAAAGATATGAGGAAGAAAGGGGAAGCGTAAGTATGTATATATAGAGAGAGAAGGTAACGGAGGTGTCTCCTTTCTAGGGCAACCATGAAGGTGCAAGTTCGGGCAACGGGCAGTTGACCTCTTCTGAGGTAATTTGGTCTTCGGGCAGCTGCCCGATACACAATTTGCCAACTTGCCTAAACTGTTTGCAGACCCACGTGATCCGCTCCCACCGTGATTAAAAAAAAATCTTTATTAGCATTAAGGTCTCTGGTATTAACATTTACTAATATCGAGTTTTAACTTTTTTATTTTTAACTTTCCTTTTATAATTTGGGTTGTAACGGTTTTCCATTTTTTATTTTATAAATTATCATATATATACCATTTCAGTTTTTTTATTTGATATATATTTTCCATTTGTTTTTTTCAATAAGAATATGTTGTATATTACAGGTGTATTTATATGACATTCATTTTGGACCATTTAAAAATCACAAGTAATGATATATATGTGTATATATATATATATATATATATTTAGGTTCGCTTGGGGAATATAAAACGAATCGAATTGAATGGGATGATATTAACCTTATTGGAAAATGAAATATAAAACTAATTGTATTTGATTTTGTTAGAAAGTGAATTTTAATTTTAAGTCAAAACTAATGTATGAAAATAATAAAACCTTTTACAAACAAAAAATTGTATCCTTTACCAAAAAAATGTATCATTAAAAATTAAATCTTAATAAAAATATAATAAAACCGAATTCAATATAAATTTAAGGAAAATAATTTTTTTATAAAATAGAAAACTTTAACCTAAATTATGCTGAACCAGGTCAAACGATCCCAACATATCGGTAATTATTATATTACTCGATATCTCATTTTAAGTTACATTTTACCGAATAGGTAAAAAGCCAGGGTAGTTTTTAATTTCCAATACCACCACCACGTCCACATCTAAACAAGACGGCGTCGTCTTGGTTCTCCCGTTATCGCCACCAACAGTTTCTTTGTTGGTATAAAAGCCCTCCTAAAACTTTTCACCTGATTTCTCTCCTCCTCTATCCATCCATCTCCCTCTTTCCCCTGAAGAAACTCCATTTTTGCCCCTCGAAGCTTCGAATTTGAAGCTTCAGCAGAGGGATTGTCCGTTTCCTGCTTCAGCATCTGCAAATTTCGTTATTCCCATATTTGCACGGACGAACAAATTCGAAGACAACCCCTAGCTCATGATTGAGGTCGGTGCTTATGTTCTTCTTCCTTTCTCGAATTCGGGGGTAAAGTTGTGTGATTTCAACCCCTTTTCAGCGAATTTGGCTCGTTTCTTCTGGTGGGTTTGTTTGATTTTAGTGAGAAATAGTGGGAAGTTTTTCGGGTGTGAATTTGTTATCCCCGTGGACGCAAGATTTCTGATGGCGTTGGTAGGGAAGGCGTTTGAATGACTAGAAAATCCTGAAATGAACTTTCTTTGGACATGAATTTCGTGCCGAGGTCCTGTGATTTCTGAATTTGCTTCTCTCCGTAGGGATTTGCGTTTCACGTGAGATAAAACCTTTCCTAGCCCTGTGTAATGTGGATTACGGATTCCATAATCGCTTAATCCTTTGATTAATTGATGGATTTGGTGAATGTTTATACCAACTTCTTCGAACATGTAAAGCGAATAGCATTGTGAATGTTTGCCAGATTAGGTCCTTTGAGTAGATGATTTGGTGCTCAGCTGGGGAAAATGGTGTTGGTAACCCATAAATTGCAGGTAACTTCACTGAAATCTTAAAACTCTTAGGCCTTGCTTATGTTTTAGCATCTGACGGTGCTTCTGTCTTGTGTCAGATTCTTCTCTTACTGATTTGAACCTATGATCAATTAAGGTTCCTACACATGTATGTAGTGTTGGTTGAAGTGTGAATCCTAAAACATAAGAATCATGGACATTTCTGTGTTATTCCATTAGTTTCTCTGTACCTGTAACTATAGAGAAACAAAAGTTGTTCACTTCACTGTCGTGTTTTTGAATTATCTTGTTATTATCATTTAGGGTTCACATATCCTGTTTCCTCGGAGTTCACCAACATGGAGCAAAGGCTTGATTCCAAAGCGACCTATTACAAAGGTGCATCTCGTCGGGAGTAAAGAGAAACACTTACGATTGAAACAGACGTGTGGTGTAAGGTGAGAATTATATGCTTGACAAGCACATGCATTTGTTTACGTTTGGATACAAGATGTATGGATCGGTTCTACATTCAGGTCTTCCCCATTACTCTTGCAAGTAGAATGGAAATATGTTCTTCCAACATTTATTTCAGATATCTTGTGGAGTGATTTACTCATGGATTGGTATCCAAATGTTTGCATATTATCCTCTTTTAGAAATAAATGGCAATCGTTACATGGGTTATGTTGGTGCAAGTGTGTGATTGAGATTGAGATATGGCTTAATATATGAGTTGTGAGTGTGAGGTAGCCCTAGATAACCTTTTTGCAGTGGCATGCCAACCTTCCCATCTAATTTTATGAGCACTAAGAATATGCATTCCATTGTATATTGATTATTTGCATAATGTACTTCTGTTTTGTCACTTACTACATATATAATGGTTAATAGCCTTTTTTCCTCATGTTTTTCCATTAATGCAATCATTTGTATACATTGTTTTTGTTCTTGTCCATTCCTTGAATTTGAATTTGGGTATTGCCTTGTTAGATTGAAGGCAAAACCCTTTAGAGTTGCATCTTTCAAAGGTGGCATCTGCAATGGCGATGCCGGAGGAAGTGAGAGTGGAACAAAAGTTTCCAATAACTCGGTTAAAGTATCTTACCGTCCAGATGATGATGAAAACAGAACACTTTCATATGCCTCTCAAACAGAGGATTCCATTACAGGACAAGCATCTATTCAGAAGCTTTTCAAGAAGTGGTTAATGATACTGCACACTCAATCACCTGCTGGAGAAACTGATGGAGTTTTGGAGGAACAACTACCTCAAACGACAAAGTCAGCTACTCAAACTGAAACAGAGATCCGGAAGATGGAAAGCGTCCAGAGTGCAAAAACAGTCTGGTCCCGGTTATGGAGTCTAGATGCAACGATCAAGATTCCCTTGCTCTTAGTGTAAGTGTCGGTGTTAAGTCATCTTTTCTTTTGTTGACTAGGTGATATAGAGGAGAAACTATGCACACCCTTTCACTGATTAGATCCTTGCAGATATGCCAAAGCATTTGTATATGAACCTAATATAGAGAAAGTAAACTATGCATCAATGAATGAAACATCATGTGCTTCAATGCATGGGATGTGTTGGTCTCACCAGATTGCCAATGGTACACTCCTTTCTCTCGAGTTGTTGAATCCGACATTTGTACTGATAACTTTTTTCCTTGTCCATTTGCAGTGTCCCAGGTTTCGTAGCTGTCAACTCAATTTATGGAGCAGAAGTATCGAAGGAGTTGATGCCATTGTGGGTGGTTGGGCCTCTGGTTGTCGCTCTTTATGTCAAAATGTTCCAAGGGATATGTGCTTTATACGCCTTCTGCTTCAAGCAAACCATCAACATCATTAGAAATTTACCAGCTTATGCCATTCTTGCCTACAATTACATCATCCGAGGCAAACTCAAAGAAGACGCCCTAGGCTTTGTGTTGCGGCCCGTGGTGGCCATCAAGAACATGGATTACAAAGAGGTTGCAAGAACCAGACTCAAGTTGCTACAAAAGTGGGTTATTGAGAAATACCTGGATTTCGTGGAATCAATATGGCCTTATTACTGCAGAACTATCCGGTTCTTGAAGAGGGCTAATCTGATATAATGATCCAATGTCCTGAGCCTGGAACCTAGTTTTCTGGATTCTTGGATCCAGTCAACGGGAAATTTAGACCAGGAAATTGCAAAGGCCCAACCTTTTTTGTGTTCTTCATGTTGGGTTTGCCCTGTAATTGTAATCTTTTTTTTTTGTTGGTAACACATTTTGATTCTTGACTCTAGGAGGCTTTGCTGTTCTGTTGGTCCCTGTCACGTTTCTTGAGTTTGTTTTCTAGACTCAGGCTTCTTTCTGTTGATGTTCAACCTTGGCATGATCCATGAGAGCCCCTTACCCTTAGTGTAAAGACTCAAACCTGGTAATAGTAATATCTTACCCTTAAAGATTTCAGAATATCAGGGAAACCAAACCTGTGAATACCAGAATCAGATTACAGTATCTAGTTCTAGATCTTGTAATGATGATATAATTAAAAAAAACATAACCCATCAGTTCTTGAAACTTGTCGGCAAGGTTTCATCAGTGAAGTACTCCTTTCTCACAGTCTCGGATGAGCAGAACTTCACCTTCAAAAAAAAGGGCCAAAGCTTGGTATTTGAAACTGGTCTACCATGAGATGAAATCATTTCAACGAAAAGATGATTAAGCATAACCACCAAGTGAATGCATCGTTCTGACAAGAGAAAAAAACTATCCGAATGAACTCAAATGAACTGCGGCAGAGACTTACGAGAGAGGCGTATCTTTTCACCAATGGCTTGACGAACTGCCAGATTGGCTTGAACACAAACGGAGCATCCACAAACAGGACTTCATCCAACCGGCTCGGATAGTAACAGTAAAACACATCAAACTGCGAAAAGGATATCAGGAGGAAACACTGTAAGATCTTCGAACTGGTCGTTGTCAATAAGTTCCAAACCGTAAGCATGTAGGAAAATAACAAATACCAAAAAAGTCAAGAACTTGATATCTGCATTCTCGGCACCATATCCACGAAGATCAAACAGACCAAGTATTTTGTCTTGCCCGGCTGGTAGCTTGCTTAAAGCTTTTTCAAGCAAGAATACACACAGCTTTTCGTCCTCGATACGATCAAGTAGCTGCAACACCAAATGTCCAAATTCTCAGACATCTATGACTGGAGAAGAGACCGCAGCAAAGTATGAGTAAAGAAAGGAACATGAACTTTCCCCGGGAATGTGCTTCGCGGCAACTACAGTAAGTACTGGTCGGCCCCTCGTGTCTAGAGAATCATGCACGTAAGCTTTCCCTGTCTCGGCAGCGATCTTGACAGAATCTTCAGACAGTTCAGACACCTTGAACTCTTGGCGCCATCTCTGAAGCTCTCTGGTAAGGATCACAGGGGCGTGGTAACCAGCAGAACAAGTTTGTGTAATGGAATTAGGAGGATAAACGGTGGATAGGATACAATAGCTTTAGAGAGTTTTCCAATGGCTTCCTCGACTGAGAATCTACGGTCCTTCAAAAACCAGAGGATCATTTCCTCATCATCTCTTCCATTCATGCCAAGAGGGAGAATACTATAATCTCTTGCAAGCCTTTTTTTGACTTCAAACACTAGCTGCACGACGAGTAGAAACCAAGCATACCATCAAAAGCAGAAAGTTCGTAGATTCTACACCTCATATTTCGATTCATAACAATAGCATAACGACGTTCATCCGTTTCCATGATTCACCTGTAGCAACCAAGAAAAAAAAAAGGAAAAACGAGGAAGAACCTTGCGCTGGTCAGAATCGGACAAACAACTCCGGACGGAGAACCTGCAGCTACGAGGTTGATTTCGCGACAAATTCGTCGAGTTCCTGAAATTGACAGCGACGAGGGTGGATCCGATACGAATCGACATTGCCGGAAAAAAATTCGAAGCTCGGGAACAAAATCGAGATTATAGAGACGTCGAGGTCCCAAAATCCCGAGTTTGGCTCCAAATTCCGATTGCGAGATAAACTCGAGGAGTCGCAATTGAAAGTCAGCTACTGAACTAGAGGCCGGTTAATGTCGGATTGAGTCCGGTCAGTACGGTTCGACTTTTAAATTTTTAGTTTAGTTCCGGTTTGCAACCCTTTTCAAATTGGATATTTCCTATCCCAACGGCCATTTACTAAGTTTATATTTGAAAACATTGTATTTAACCTGTTTTCTTACTTTTATGTATTTTATTACATTTTTATGAAAAAAAATGTGTACGTTTAATTTATATTTTACGAAATATATCTTATGCGAAAATGCATAACACATGCATACTCACACACACACACATATATATATATATATGTTAAATAATATATATTGACTATCGAAATGTAAGTTCATTAATCAATCAACATGAGAATTAAAAAAAGTCAAATATATAGCCCCAGACAAATCATATAATTTTTTATAATAAAATCACAATATTATTATTGTGAGAGACATATCTATCCTATTCAAATATCTAAGAAGCCCTTTATAATATAAATAAAACAAATATATTACAAAATATTACAATAAATTTAAAATTATAATATTTAAATATAATTTTATTATGAACAAATTTAAAAATATTAATATAAATAATAATTTAAAAATAGAATTGTGTCAAAATAACATAAATATATCGACTATTCCCTTAAATAAAATAAAACAGTTTTTCTAATTTCATTTGAACCTATCACCAAATTTACTTCAAAACCCTCCAAAATTATATTAAAAAATAATAAAAAATAGAAAAAAGAGATATTTTATTTATAAAGATTAGTTTTTAAAATAAATAAATAAATAAATATATATATATATATATTTATTTATAAGTAATAAGAAATGCGTATATTTTCTAGAAAAATAAGTTTAAAAGATTATATTATTATTTGATGTGATTTTATATTTAGATAAAAAGAATTTGGAATATAAATAA